TAACATCGACCAGACTACACAGCGCAACAACCCAGAAGACAGAAATTTCATACTCTGATGATGGAGGCAGTATGACCTCTGAAACGTTGGCTAACATCGACCAGACTACACAGCGCAACAACCCAGAAGACAGAAATCATAATATAATAATATAGCTGAAGCCATCAACAAACAATTGTCGGTTAATACGCTATTGCACAAATCAGACAAGACTTGGATACTTCTATATTCTCGCTGGTTTTGGGATCATTTTGAATTTCTGGCTTTGGCTCCTTGGCAATTTTAAGGTCTCGGGCCAAGCTTTAGAAGTTGCGTACACATTTCTCCCGCTGTTGGATGAAACGTCCATACTGATGATTACATCTGAGACGTCATCACAGTAGAGTGTTTTATTTGAAGCAGAATCACCACCCCGGCATTCCACCTTCTCACCAGTGCAATGAGGGCCTCTTAGTGTATCAAAAATGTTTATGTTGACGTGTTCTTTCGACGTCCTTTTCACTGATGATGACTTATATTGTAGATTGTTGAGTGTTATATCCTCTGCCGAGCTAGTGGGAACATCGCTGTTTCTTGAATGTCTGTTCGATGACTTGAATCGTCTCATTTCTTCACCGTTGGCAGACCTGGAAACAAACGTCACTGTTAAAACATCGGCAAACGAAGATCTTACGTCACGAGTCATAAGATGGCGGCTGGAGTGCGTGTTTACATTACTCCAACTCTTTCCTTGAAGCGCTATTTAGATATACTGTTATTACAAAGGAAAATTACAATGGAATCACGTTTCTGATATATAATACTATAATTTTAATGAATTTACTACGAAGAATCGAATAAGAAAGAATGATTTAAAAATAATTTGTTAATTATACCAGACTGTGTTATAAAATACTTCTCGTAACAGCAATTACAATTTAATCCACGGAGCCAAGTCCTTCTTGAGAAGCCAACAGTCGCTCAGCCACTCAAAAATTTGCCAACATTTTATGGTACGTGACAGTTCATTACCATTTTTATAAGAGTCAGCGAATTATAACTTTCACTTGTCTAAAATTATTTTATTTTGACTTATATTTCAGTTTAATAACATGAAATTGTTTTGATTGTTTAATTGTTTAATTTTAACCGTCTAATCACAATAAAATATTTTATTAAATATTAAAATATTATTATTACAATTAACATTTAATATTTAAAATATATTAAAATGATGCTCTTTCTATCGAAATGTTCGATTTACAATTAGAGCATCATCTTTTTCACGACATGAATAACATGAAATTGTTTAATTTCCTATTGAAATAAAATTTCAGTTAGTTTTTACCATGTGTTCAGTCGACTACGTCTATCATTTATGTCATTTGTACTGAAACAGCATTTAATTGAAGTGACTTCGTAATTTGCAAGAAGCAGCCAACTCAAAATATCAATCAGACGTACCTTAAGGTAGAAAATGTCTGAAAGTTCAGTCAGATATGGATTTTGATTGCTAAAAAAAGATGTACACACCTCAAAAGGGGGCTTTTAGTGTTACTATCAGGCTATGCCAGAGATGAGCAAACACTGTATTCTGCAAATGTAAAGTTGGAAAACATTTAAAAGCAGCAAATCTTAATACACAGCAAAATAATAGTAAATGAGGTTATGTCACTGGCAGCCATTTTTATTTAGGGACATAGGCATGTAATGATTCTTATCATGCCTGTGCAGTGTCTGAAGAAAACGTAAATTATTTTTCAGCTGATAAACATACCAAGTATGTTTCTCAGATATTTTTTGATGAACCAAAAACAACATTTATAAAGGCTAGTAGCAACTAAATTATTAACAACCATGACACCGACTTCAATAATCTTTTAACATTTCACCTGTTTGACGGGTCACGTAACGGATTCGATTAGGATCCACCATGAGGATATATGACTGGTTGGGGGATTCCCCGTACAAGGATTCCCCACTGAGTCACTTTTTCTCACAGGAAATCACACAACTCATCCATCATTATCCTATTTTAAAGAAAACTGGAAGATGGTAACAAATTTTCGTAAAACTTCTCAATGTAACATTTTAAAGAAATAGGTTTAACAATTCTTGAGTTCTTACACTCCGACAGACATGGCATAGCTAATCTTCTTCTTCTTCTATGGCGCAACAGTCCAATTTCGGGCCTTGGCCTTCTCCCATGTGGGAGGTTTCTTTGTATTTTATGAGTAGTGACCAGCCCACTGCCTCAGCACAGTTTCTATTCAACCAAGATTTGTCTGCTAGAGCCATCTAGTAGTGAATCAGGAGAGACTTGGGTGAGAAATGGCCGTTGAATTTTGCTTACGAAACATCTCGTAAGGTTCTTTTAAATGCCGTAAATCTACGAAATGGGACCATTGGCTTTTCTTCCCCTCCAAAGAAAGTCATGTTACGGATTTTACCACCCTTAAAAATCCATCGACCTCGGCTGGGTTTGAACCCGCGAACCTTGGGTCCAGTGGCGAACAGCTCTCCATTTTAATTGTGTTACAAGGGTTTCTCATTAAATCTTGCCAAAAATTTTACCTTCAGTTTCATGTCTAAAATGGCTCTGGGACACTCAGCCTCCTATTATACGAGTATTGAAGAATCATGCACTGATGTGAAAAATGGCAACTCTGAATAATGTAAAGGTTAAAAATTAGAAATTTTGGGATTTATTAAGGTTGGCTGTCAGAGAATGACGACATTTGGAAAGTATAAAGCAAGTAGGAACAGTCCTTTTTATCCTGTTACCTATTAATTTCTTTTATGTAGTTAATTTAAAGTAAAACAGTAGGGAACAAAAGATAATATCTGACAACTAATATAAATTTATGTCAGTAATTCAGAGATGTTGCTTTCAAGTGAACACGTGCATGTTACATTTTTTTCTCATCACGAAGAATGCCGGTGAATGATATCAAGTCCACACCTGCAGTGATCAAAATGATCATTGACGTAGATGACTGTGGTGTCCCTGAAAGTGGATGCTTCTGTGCTGCTGCTCCTGTCAGTGTTACCGCAGCAGAGAGTCTTTCGGAAAGCCAGGCGGTACTTGGCGGACATCACATTATAAAGAACAGGGTTGACCGTGCAGGAGAAGAAATAGAAACACCCTGTAACATATGTGCATTGCTTACATAAGGATATTGTTACGTTTACTAACGTCAGCACACCAATGTTTATATCGTATTTACTCACTTAACTAACTAACTAACTAGATGACTTACAGAATTTACCAAAGCCCTCCACCGGACCCTGTCCTGGGCCAACACATTCCAGTCTCATTCAACTCCTATCTCCCACAGATCCCGCCTGAGATTATCCTCCCATCTACGTCTAGGTCTCCCCAGAGGTCTCTTCCCCTCAGGCTTCCCAAATAGTGGACCCAACCAACCAGATGGCTTACGGAACCCGAAGGTTCATCACCGAATTAACCAAAGCCCTCCACCGGACCCTGTCCTGGGCCAACAAAACCCAGTCTCCTTCAACTCCTATCTCCCATAGATACCGCCTGAGATTGTCCTCCCATCTACGTCTAGGTCTCCCCAGAGATCTCTTCCCCTCAGG